ACAATCTGCTTCACAGTAAGTTGCAAATGATATTCTTTTGTCATCGCGCCCAAAGCCGGGGATTAAATGCAAGCCCATGCTTCTCAAAAAAGTGATTTTAAAATCTGATACAGAATATCAGATTCAACTTGTTTTCGAACGCCCTCATCGCTGGCTATGTTGTTGAAATCTCGAAAAAAAATGTTTTTTCGAAATTTTAAATCCCTCTGTTGAACTTGTCTACACATTCATTACAGAAGGTCGCAAGCATGCCGCAGCATTTACTTGCTGTGGTTTTGCTCAGCAACTAGGCCTATCAGCCATGTGCAACTGTGAAAAGGTTCTGCGGACAGCAGAACATGTACTCCGGAACTGCACTGGATTTGATACTTTAAGGCAAATGTTTTAGCTGGGAAGAACAACAGTGGAACGACAATTCTATGGACCACTGAACGAACTAAAAACGACGTTAAAATTTACACGAGATACACAATTTCTGATATAGACAACTTATTTTAGACAAAAAGAAAGAAAAAGAATCACAGGACAACTGTGCGTTTAGTAGCTTAAACACTTCGGAACAACTCAAAGGTTTAAGGAAGACTTGTTGCATGCAACACTCAGGTTCTGGAACTAGACTAACAACTAAAGGTGGACGAACAATCTGAACTTTCCACATGAGTTTACAGCCTGTGAACGTGAAGAAGAAGAAGAAGAAGAAGAAGAAGAAGAAGAAGAAGAAGAAGAAGAAGAAGAAAAAGAAGAAGAAGAAGAAGAAGAAGAAGAAGGAGAAGAAGAAGAAGAAGAAGAAGAAGAAGAAGAAGAAGAAGAAGAAGAAAAAGAAGAAGAAGAAGAAGAAGAAGAAGAAGAAGAAGAAGAAGAAGAAGAAGAAGAAAAAGAAGAAAAAGAAGAAAAAGAAGAAGAAGAAGAAGAAAAAGAAGATTAAGAAGAAGAAGAAGAACAAGAACAAGAATGAGAAGAAGAACAAGAGCAAGAAAAAGAAGAAGAAGAAGAAAAAGAAGAAGAAGAAGAAGAAGAAGAAGAAGAAGAAGAAGAAGAAGAAGAAGAAGAAGAAGAAGAAGAAGAAGAAGAAGAAGAAGAAGAAGAGAGGAAGAAGAAGAAGAAGAAGAAGAAGAAGAAGAAGAAGAAGAAGAAGAAGAAGAAGAAGAAGAAGAAGAAGAAGAAGAAGAAGAAGAAGAAGAAGAAGAAGAAGAAGAAGAAGAAGAAGAAGAAGAAGAAGAAGAAGAAGAAGAAGAAGAAAAAGAAGATTGAGAAGAAGAAGAAGAACAAGAACAAGGATGAGAAGAAGAACAAGAGCAAGAACAAGAAGAACAAGAGGAAGAAAAAGAAGAAGAAAAAAAAAAAAGAAGAAGAAGAAGAAGAAGAAGAAGAAGAAGAAGAAGAAGAAGAAGAAGAAGAAGAAGAAGAAGAAGAAGAAGAAGAAGAAGAAGAAGAAGAAGAAGAAGAAGAAGAAGAAGAAGAAGAAGAAGAAGAAGAAGAACAAGAAGAACAAGAAGAACAAGAAGAAGAACAAGAAGAACAAGAAGAACTCGAAGAACAAAAAGAACAAGAAGAACAAGAAGATGAAGAATAAAAAGAAGAAGAAGAAAAAGAAGAAGAAGAAAAAGTAGAAGAAGAAGAAGTAGAAAAAGAAGAAAAAGAAGAAAATGAAAAAGAAGAAGAAGAAGTAGATGAAGAAGAAGAAGATGAAGAAGAAGAAGAAGAAGAAGAAGAAGAAGAAGAAGAAGAAGAAGAAGAAGAAGAAGAAGAAGAAGAAGAAGAAGAAGAAGAAGAAGAAGAAGAAGAAGAAGAAGAACAACAACAACAACAACAACAACAACAACAACAACAACAACAACAACAACAACAACAACAACAACAACAACAACAAGAAGAAGAAGAAGAAGAAGAAGACTGACAGGTTAAGTTGACAAGAGTTAAGTATTAATTAGAATTGGAAGGAAAGGAAAAGACGATCACAACTGCAGCCATACGTTTGACAAATGTTTGTTACTTCTTGTAAAAACTATTTCAGGAATCTATCCCGCACAAATTCAGACCACAATGGTGGAAAAACCACACGCAGGCGATGTGCAAAACTATGGGGATGGACACCAACCAATCGCGTGTTCCTGTCGACCAGCTATCTAAAATTTTAGTAGATGATAAACACAAGGTTAGTATTCCCTGTTGTATCCTTGAGGGTTAATGGGCTCCAACTGAGGTTGGGGGGGGGGGGGGGGGGTGGGGGATTGTGGTCGGTATAGGGGGGATGACTGTCTTAGTCTGAGTCAAGGTTTCAACCACGCCCATCTGTAAATAGAGTCGGCCGAGGTTTCAACACTCTGCAATTGGGTTTCCCCATACTCGCTAAGTTCCCGTGCCAGTGAAAATCAAATGAATTGCTCTTACTGTCGCATTTGAAAAACTGGTGCACAAATAACTAGACCCGAAACAATCCAGAGATATGCGCACCTAGTAAATGCGTATTGCAGTTGCTAGAGGCGCCAAAGCCAACAATTGCCACCAGAAATGTAGTTTGTCATTGATGCGCACCTAGTAAATGCGTATTGCAGTTGCTAGAGGCACCAAAGCCAACAATTGCCGCCAGAAATGTAGTTTGTCATTGATGCGCACCTAGTAAATGCGTATTGCAGTTGCTAGAGGCGCCAAAGCCAAAAATTGCCACCAGAAATGTAGTTTGTCATTGATGGAAGTAGTCGGGCACGAAAAGCTGGTTACTGTGCACAAGCATAATTATTACATAAGGTATGTCACCAGCAAACAGCTAAACTGGCTACCGTTGATTTGATTTGATTCAAGAACCGACATCACAGGACTCGGGACATTCCCATAAGAGCTCCATTCCCATCTTCAGCAGCAAGAGAAGAGTTCGGATACTAATGGTGCCAGTAGCATTCTGATTAAACGTCTGTCATGTCATGCCTTTCCCCTGAGCCTCGAGCATCTGCCAGAACCTGTCGTCACTCCCCTCTGCATCAATTTCACCAGACTGGTGATCCGTTTGCTCAGGCTAACGTTTATATTGAAAACCTCAACACAAACCCTGCACAAATGAAAAGCATTCGTCAGAAAGAAGAAAAGAAAAAAAGCTAACTGGGCTGCAGCCAAGCTCTAAACTCAGTAGCTCGGGCAGCGAACCCGTAGACAACTGTCCTTATGTGGAAATTGCATTAGTAAAGCGCTGTCAGACGCAAAAATAAATTCGAAGTCTAAAATTCTGCTAAGCCTATCCTCCATTTAGGCCGGAAGTCAGGACTGACGGTAATGTCATTTATTACAGCCAGATGTCACCTGCAATTCTACGCGGGTAAGGACGCTACAACACAGCTCCAGTTCTACTCTAGCAACACATCAAAAACTAGCCCATTTTCAACCTGTTGCCAACAGTTTGGGGTTATATTTGTGGTCTGGTTTATTTGCGCCACTTGCATGGCTAAGATTGTAGTATGTGTGCCAGCTCTCTGGCTTTGTATTCGTATCCTAGTAGCTAGATCGCTACTTCCTGTTTGTGTCCTAGTGTGTTTTTATCCTTATCTTCACGACGTTAACCTCGTGGGTCATACTCTAACCGGTAAATTCTCCTTATTTTATTTTTTTTTTTTTTGTTGTCTTTGTGTCCTGCACTGTGTTCTTGATCTTCTACAACATAGTAGTAGTCGATTTTTACACCACCAGGACATCACAGAAGCAATAAACACCCGATGACACAAAGTGCCACCATATGGATGCGGATCATCCGTGGAGAGGTCCCAGAAACCTCGTTTATCCATTAGACCATATTTATGGTCGGACTATATTGCGGCCCCTGGGAAGAGCCAGAGTAGGGCTTCAAACAACTAAAAATTGCATCTCACAAGAAGATAACTGACAAAACATAACAACACAGCGTGTCCTACTGACCTTATAAGGACGAGCACAGAATAGGGAGCATCGTTTGTCGAACACGCCTGTCCCCACATCCACCCACACACATATGAGCGCGTGGACCGACAGCCAGACAAGATGTAGCTTATCGGCATCCGTTTTTTCCCCCAATGCTTGCACTGATAAGCATAATGGTGGGGAATTTGGGGGGTAGGGGGGGGGGATATTTCCCCTCAACCAGGATTGCAGTCTATAGAGAGAACATCTCAATGATGAGAATCACACAGATATAAATCCCTAGAACCCGTTTCATTGCAGCTGTGGGTCTATTATTATTATTATTATTATTATTATTATTATTATTATTATTATTATTATTATTATTATTATTATCTTGTTAATCACAAAAAGGGATCCTGTAGCCCATATAGGAAATTATGTTTCAATATACAATTTCTCACTGTCGTCACCCTATCTACTCATTGGGCGCTCTGTCGTTCTGGTATCCATTGATTTTGAAGGTATAATGCATGTATAAGTAAGCCTCGGTAGCGAAGTTGCTAGATGCTTGCCTACGGACCAGAAGACCTTGTGTTCGAATCCGCAGATTTCTGTTATTGACTAAGGGTATCAAGGTCAGCCGAGCCTAAAATGGTAGCAGAAAATGACTTAGAAAGCAAAATGCAGCCGGCTTGATTAAAAGAATAAGAGCGGCGGCGGCAGCAGCAGCAGCAGCAGCAGCAGCAGCAGCAGCAGCAGCAGCAGCAGCAGCAGCAGCAGCAGCAGAAGAAGAAGAAGAAGAAGAAGAAGAAGAAGAAGAAGAAGAAGAAGAAGAAGAAGAAGAAGAAGAAGAAGAAGAAGAAGAAGAAGAAGAAGAAGAAGAAGAAGAAGAAGAAGAAGCAGCAGCAGCAGCAGCAGCAGATTTACGGCCGCATGACTAGTGCTGTCGCCACAGACTGTGCAGGTTAGGATGTTTAATTTTGCCCTAACAGAAAAACTCCATCACCTTTTTGGAATTCGAACCAGGGTGCCCCGTATGAGGAGCAGACGCTATTTAGAAACAAGTATTTTGTATACTATTATAAAACATTTATGACAACTGACACATGGGTATTTTTCCACTTCTGTCACAGCTTTTGTTCTGCCAGATTGCAAAAGTGGCCTCCACCAACTTGGGCAAAATATTCGCCATTATCACCGGATTGTTCAACGGTACAAATCCTAACCTCATTCCTCCACCGGAAATCCACTCGAAGTACAACAATCTACACATCCACCTGGATTCACTTCCTTTAGATCAAATTCTTCTAAGGATCAAAAACTATTTCAAATTCGTATTCGTCAGAGATCCATTTGAACGGCTTCTGTCAGCCTACAGAAATAAGTTCATGAAGCCTCCAAACAGTTCCTTCGAGTACCTCAGCCGCAAAATGGTCAAAGTGTACCGAACAAACTCTACTCTGCGAGGAGGCGTAACGTTCGAGGAATTCGTGAAGTATCTTGTAGATCCAGCTCAAATTATTCCAACAAACCCTCATTGGCAGCCGTTTTACGAGCTGTGCAGACCTTGTGAGATGATGTATGACTTTGTGGGGAAGCTGTCAACCTTCAATGAAGACACTCGGTATATCCTGAAAATTAATAAATTAGAAAAACTTGTCGAGTTCCCCAAAACCCCAGATAGTCCTCATACTTTGCATAAAACTGACACTCTTTTGAATAGTTATTATTCCAAAATTCCAAAAGAATTACTGCGAAAACTTTACAATGTGTATTACCCTGACTATGTTTTGTTCGATTTCAACATCCCACCTGCAATTCAAAAGCTTTTGAAATGATTTCGTGTTCTTATTCTAGTTTCGAAGTGGTTTCGTGTTCTTATTCTCTTATTGACTTGATTTCGTGTTTATTTTCGTTTTAAAGTGATTTCGTGTTCTTATTTTCGTTCGTATAATCACGAAATCAGACGAATGCTAGGAATAAAGCCAGTCTTACAAGTCATCAGAGAACAACAAATGAAGTGGTTTGGACACCTTATAAGAATGCTCTGGTACTATCTACCACAGTGAGCCACACTCGAACGTTACAAGTATAGAGCGAGCGGAGGACCTCGGAAAATATGGAGGGATGGCATTAAGAACAACAGCCTTAGAGAAATGAACATCAATCCTAATAGTGCTCTTGACAGAGCTCATCAACGAATGTTACACCCCCCACCCCCCCCCCACCCCCCCCCCCCCCCCCCCCCCCCCCCCCCCATACTTCACTGAGGTACAAGGTGGGAGAGAAGAAGAAGCATAAGAAGATTTACGATTTTTTTCCTTGCTGTTTATTTGTATTAAATAAGTGAAGGGCCAGTTTTAAAGTCAGTAGCCTAGTGGTTAGATGATGCTACTATTCTAGACCTCTTTATCATAGACCAATCTGAGTCAGTAGGTGCTGTTGTCTATATCGCGCTGGCCATGTTGACTTCATAGGATATTACCGCAATTCCTTCGACTAAATCCTCAGTGTTTCTTGAAAGAAGAGCCCTGAATTACATCATCGAGAAGTACACAGGACTAAAGTTATCACACATTTGTTCCTCAAGCGGAGGAGAAAGCGGGTTTTGTGAGCTAGAGCTTCCATCGATACATCTTCACTACCCTAACGAATCAACGGTTGTTACGTTTCAGCAATTCCTGCCTGTAATGCCAGTGGCAGATGATAAAAATGATGGATGCGATGTTAAGCTTGTCGAAATCAACCATTAAACAGCAGTACCGGGTCCTAACCCTCGAAAGAGCCCAAACCAAGTTAAGTTACAGATTTGAATAATGCAGACACAAACAACACATTGCACAATTTACTGCCAGCATATTTCACTGTATCTCGTCAGGTGCGTTACTAAAGTTACATCAACGTAAAGTGAGGCACAAAACTGAATAAATCCAACTAAAATGGGAATAGTTTCTTCTGTCACATCATGTGTGTGTTTTTTTAAAAACAGATATTTCCTCTGCTTTGTCTTGTGGAGCCGGGTAAATAGAGCAGGGAGAGAACACAGCTGGCTGAAAGCAAGGAAAAGACATGCTCTCTGCATACAGTGGAAAGATAACTGATTTGGCTGGTTGGAATTTTAATGGAAATCAAGCAACAATGGAACAGTAGAAGAGATGATTTGCACCATAAACTTCACATAGATCCGTGGCTTTTTCGTCCGAAAACTTCTTGCAGGGAGAACGCAAAGAAAACGAGAGCAGCTGGGTAGACCAGAGAGCCAAGATTAATTATGAAATCCATTTCGACACCTATTCGAACACCAGACATTCAGCCAACAGGAGAGCCTCTAGCCATTATGCTACACTGACTCCCTCTGTTGTACATACTATTCATTTAATTCCTTTCATCGGCACCAATGAGCCTGTTTTTTAAAGAAAATCTCTTTCTATAGCCCAGGGAATCTCAAACTGGGTGCCATGGCACCCAGAGGTGCCGCGAGCGTATGCCAGGGGTGCCGCGGCAATAATCAAGAATTTTTCAAAGTCTGCTTTGAGATCAGTCAAGACAGCAGTTTAAAACAGAAATACTGTGGGGGGGGGGGGGGGGGGGAAGCCAAGGAGAGTTTTAAATGCAGGTGTATTAAGAAGTCAATGCTATTAACCACGCTGCAGTAAATTCTCAAAGTACGCTTGCATTAAAAAAAAAAACAGATACAGGAGCAACATTTCTGAGTGAAGTGGTTTAAGGGTCAAATTAACTAAGCATTCCATATACCTAAAAGGGAAATTCGGGAGATGTGAACTAGCGTCATTGCACACGGTCATAAACCATAAGTGCTCTGCCACCAGTGCGGACAGTTGATAAGAATTGTAGAATTGTCTGTACCTAGAGCGAAGTTCCTCCATTTATCCCAGAGTGTCAACTCTGGTACCCAGAAGAAAAAGAAGAAGAAGAAGAAGAAAAAGAAGAAGAAGAAGATTATTTATCTCCTAAATCCCCCAGTCTGTGTGTGTTTCTGTGTGAATCTGTTCGTGCGTACATGTAAGTGTGTGATTATATGTATGCAGTTGTGTGTTTGAGTGTGCGTTTGTGTGAATCTGTGACATTGTTTGTCTGATTGAATGCGTATGTGAGTATGTGTGTGTGTGCGCGCTCGCGTGCGTGCTCGTGACTGTGTGTGTGTGTACATAATTGTTTGTAAGTACCAAACTGTTATTGGCGTGATTAATTGTATTTGTTAGAAGGAAAATTGGTTCTTTCAATTGTTGTTTTTGATTTGTTATTACCGTCATTATAATAACCAGGTCATCATCATCATCATCATCATCATCATGAATATGTTATCGTTAAAAATAATAAAAGCATCAACAGCAACATGATTTATTTATTATCATTTATGTAAATAATTTATGTAGTAATAAAATTCGCTGTCGGAAAAAAATTATGGTGGTGGTGGTGGTGGTAGTACTGGCAGAACCAGCAGCTACAACTGTAGCAGCAGCAGCAGCAGCAGCAGCAGCAGTAGTAGTAGTAGTAGTAGTAGTAGTAGTAGTAGTAGTAGTAGTAGTAGTAGTAGTAGTAGTAGTAGTAGTAGTAGTAGTAGTAGTAGTAGTAGTAGTAGTAGTAGTAGAAGTAGTAACGGAATAGCAGTAGGAATAGCAGTAGTAATAGTAGTATTAGGTTAGTTGCGTATCCTTTGCAGGACGTTGCAGAACCAACCCCAACAACCCTGGCTGTTGTGTGGTTTTTCTAGGCAAATTTACGTCTAGTAATTTGCCATTACTTTATGGACGGTTGGCTTTCTGGATAGCACTGTCGAAACCAACGCAAGGCGGATGGCCTGCAGCTGGGATCTAACCCGGCATCCCGGCATTACGAAGCGTTCGCATAGACTTAGCCACAGAGCCGACAAGTTCTGACTTCAAACAGCTGAAAACGGGATCTATCTTTTTTCCAGCGGATAAGAGTGACGTTCTTCAAAGGACCCGATGTAAGGTGATAATGAGGTATTCAAGTTGAAGTGTGAAAGAAGAAACGCCACAAGAGATCTTGCAGGTATTGGTTGTTGCTACACGCACACACACACACGCGCACGCACGCACGCTTACACACACATAGTCAGACAGACACAGAGACAGACATACATACACACACAGACACACACACAGACATACACACATACACACACAGACACACACATACACAAAGAGACACATACAGACACACACACACACGCAGAGACAGACACACATACAGACATACACACACAGACACACACATGCACACACACAGAGACACACACACATAGACACACTCACACAAATACACACACAGACACACACACAGACACACACACTCACAGAGACACACACACACAGACACACACATACAAGCATACACAGAGAGAGACACACACAGACACACACATAGACACACACACATACACACACACAAACAGACACACACACACAGAGACACACACACAGACACACACACAGACACACACACAGAGACTCACACACAGAGAGACACACATATACACACACATACACAGAGACACACACACAGACACACACATAGACACACACACAGACACACACACACAGACAGACACTCACACACATAGACACACACACACACAGACACAGACACAGACAGACACACACACAGACACACACACAGATACTTACACACAGAGAGACACACACATACACACACATACACAGAGAGAAACACACACAGACACACACATAGACACACACACAGACACACACACACACAGACACACACACACAGACACAGACACACATACACACATACACACACATACACAGAGAGACACACACAGAGACACACACATAGACACACACACATAGACACACACACAGACACACACACACACACACACACAGACACACACACACACACACACACAAATATGTTTTAATACGCTTGTTTGACTCCGTACCTGCTTGTTACAAGCGCTCTGATTACATCTTCTTTCGAAGCTGAACTGTGGTTTTATCTGGGATTTGTTTTGTTGGCTTGCCATCCAGATTTAGATTTCACCAATCTCAGATTGGTAAAGCTCCTAGGGGAGACGGGACAAGGGACTACTTACCTAATTGTTGTTTTTATGAGTGGTAATTATTTCTTTTTCTTAACATTTGATTTCGTTTGCTCAGGTAAGACCATCAGGTGGGCTGCCTCTATGAACTCGCTAGACAACGACAGGTCCTTCATAGTTTCCCCATAGCTTGCTCAGAGCCATGTTATGAGAGGAGGGAAAATATAACATGTTGTGACCACTGGACAGATCTGTGGAAGGAGGGACAGAGGAAGACAACGAGAGAAGATGCTTGACAGTCTTGTTGCATGGCATGAAGGTATGTTGGCACACGAACTGATACATGCTGCAGGAGATCGCAGTTTTTTTTAGAGGCATGATCGCCCACGCCAGTCGGCAAGGCACCTGATGATGATGATGATGATAGCTTGCTCTACACACTTTGCTTTTGAGGCCAGGTTTCTTTTCGAAGTTCTGGGTGGAGTGGACAGGTCTGCAGAATGTGACTGACTGACTGACTGACTGACTTTCTACCCCACCAGGACATCACACAAGCGATAAACACCCGATGACACAAAGTGCCACCATGCGGATGAGGATCGCCGTGGAGAGGTCCCAGAAACCGCGTTTAGACATTTGGCCATATGTATGGCCTGCCTATATTGCGGCCCCTGGCAAAAGCCAGAGTGGGGCTTCAAATAACAAAAAATTACGTCCTAAAAAGGACGTAAGGATATTGTGTAACTACCTTTGCAGAATGTGCTATGTTTGTGGTCCTGTTTGACAGGC